GTCTCAGATGTTTGCACCTCCCTGTGTATGTTGATTTATTATTCTCATGCATATTCTTCAAGTGATAGTGATAATAAAAGAGGGTGCGTCCTCAGTTACCAGAAGCAGAAAAACAAATTTAGGTCCTTTCCTGAAGTGGAGGATGTAAAATGTTTCCCATCAGTGCTTTATTGTTATACAGGATGTTTTTTATTGGTTAATATTGCTGATGGATTAATGTGTAAATAGTGTTTTACTTCTGCAGATGTTTGTTTTTTTCACTACTTTATATACTGCTGGGTGGTTAAATCTACAGCAATGCTTCATTTCCTATAAGACCACCATGCATTTGTCGTGTCGCTGTCCTGCATTCTTGTTTTCGGCTGTGCAGAATTTATGAATAGTCTATTTAGCTTAAGAAATTTGGCAGAAAAATTCCAATTCAAACTCACCAGATTTGGAGATTTTTTTTCTGAACCAGAAGGAGATGAAAAATCCAACAAGTAACTAAAGCTGTCAGACGAATAAAGTGGAGTAAAAAGTACAATATTTATCTCTGAGATGCAGTGCAGTGGAAGTATAGCATTAGAGAAAATGGAAAAAGTAAAATCCAAGTGTCTCAAATTTGTACATAAGGACAGTAATTGGGTACATTTATTTAGTTTTGTTTAAACAAGACGAAGTTGATGTTATATGTTTCCTTTCCTGGTCTTTTCTGCATTTCTTTGACTTTTTGTGCACCAATTTGTGGCTTTATAGTAGAAATGTTTTTTATTTATGTTACAGAAAACAAAAAAAGTCAAACAAATGTATATGTTCGCATCCCAATGAGGACACCAGGATCTTTCTGCGTGGAGTTTGCATGTTCTCCCTGTGCAGCGTGAGTTCTCTCCAGGTTCTCCGGTTTCCTCCCAAAAACATGTTGAGGTTAATTGGTGATTCTAAATTGTCCGTAGGTGTGAATGTGAGTGTGCTTGGTTGTCTGTCTCTAAGTGTAGCCCTGTGATAGACTGGTGACCTGTCCAGGGTGTCCCCTGCCTTCACCCTAAGTCCGCTGGGATAGACTCCAGCCCCCCCGCAACCCTAGTGAGGATTAAGCGGTGTATAGATGATGGAATGGATGGATGGGAGCATTGTAAATACAAATAGGCCTCCTTAGACTAAATCCTTTGACCCTCAAGCAGTTTCTCTCTGTTTCTTCGCTCCTGTCACATTTTTGTGAGCCCATTTTTCAGTGCAGTACAAAGTCCTGCCGCTCTATCGAAACATCTACAAGTTCTACATACTATAAATATTTAAATATCTACATTTTTACAACCTCTACACATGCAGCACAGGGATTCAAGAGAGATATTTTGCCGTGCTGATTGTGTTGTCTAACAACTTGCTGACAACATGCTCCCCTGTATACTGTTTTTGAGGCATCCTGTATTCATTTTGTTGATCCAGCATGTTTCGTTTTACTATTTTTTTGGGGGGCAAATTTCTAAAATGGACACGCAGAACAGAGTGATTTTGGCAAAATCTAACATTTTTAAGCTTAGATTTGGTTATTTTTACTAATTAAACCACATGTCACAAATGACATGTTCAAGAAACCCAATGATTCTTTCTCTCTCTTTTTTTGTTTGTTTTTGTTTTTGATGAATGATGTCACCTTGGTATTTAAAAAAAAAGAAAAAAAGAAACATACCTTTTCAACCTATAGTTGGGGTTTAAAGGGTCAAAAAAGTTTTAGTTTTGCCACATCGTGTTGCATTCTTTTGATGAGTTGAGGCGAGGCTTGCAGCTTTTCAACCTCACCTGTCGCACTGGTTTCGTGTCTGGTTTTGCTGTGTGCAATTCAAAACGAAAGCATTCAGTGCATGTGTTTATATAAGATGAGTTCAGGATTTAAAGCATCTGCGTGAATGTCCACAGCACTGCCCTCATCCATGTGATGTGAATAATTGAACGCAAAATACCTGAGCCATGATTGCACAACGCTATTGTGTTGTGCAGCTTAAAAGAAATGAGGTGTGTTACTGCCAGGAATACAGCTTGACTGATGTAAATCCAGCTATGGAACATTTTGTTCATGAAAGGTTTCCTGTTTGAAGATAATTATTTATTGCCGTTCAGCAGATGTCACACTGAGGCTTAAAAAAAATCCTGCAAAATTCAAATCCATCAAAATAAAATCTATATTCTTTTTACAACAGAAAATTTGATTTCAATAATTTTCCTGCATTCAGTTCAGTGGGAATTACAGTGAAAAATAAATCAGTGCAATGATTGTGTCAAACTGTGTCTCTGTGCTGCAAAGAATGTTGGGTTTCATTATTATGCTGAAACAGAAGTTCAGATGAGGCATTTCCAGTATTAAATGTTGTTTTGTTTTTTTTTCTTTTTCTGTAAACTCAAACCAGTTTTGCAGCTTCCCCATTGTTCTGCAGCATTGCATGCATGCCATTAAACTTGGCACAGGTGTTGGTAGGTGTATATAAGGATGCTGCAGGTGGCTGTGGAGACAGAAGGTGAGTTTGGAGCATCATGACGTCCACCAGAATCCTTCTGCTGCAGCTGCTCCTGGTCTCGGCGGCGTCTGCGTCGCATTTCTGGGCGACGACCGGAGGCTTCACTTTTATAGGCAGAAACCCTGATGGAACATACCAGGTGAGACCCATAACTTTTGAATATAGAATTACAGATAAAGTGTGAATCTGTTTCCCTGGTGGGGTCTCTCATCTTGTCACTGATGTTGGACTTTCCAAGTGGTTAAAAAATATATATTTCCAGACATGCTGTTTCAGAATAAATAAAATCTAAAGAAAAATATACTTTTTATATATACGGGTTCGATAGGTGTGAGCAGCTAGATGTCGTGATTTCTTACTGTGGAACTAATTCAATTTTGTGTGTTACATTTTTTTTAATGTTCTTTTACAATTATTATGACTTGTATTATAACAGTTTTCTCTGAAACTTTTCACTTTATCTCAAAATCCAAACAGTGACTTTAATGATATGCCATTTTTTGTTCTATGATTTAAAAAAATAGTAACTTTTTTTTACTAATGGTCTTCTGCTTCTGACATCTTTTGTGTGCCTTGCATGAATTTCACATCAGTTTGTGTGCATTTTGCAGTTCTTTTTTACTGGTTTGCATCTCTTTCTTGTCTTTTTGTGTTTCTTACAATCGTTTTACATCCATTTGTGTTTATTTTATGTGTCTTTTTCACTGGTTTGCATCTGTTAATTTTTGTGTTTTTGTGCCATTGCACTTGTTTTACATTTACTTGTGTTTGATTTGCATTTCTTTTCACTTATTTAAATCTATTTCTGACCTTTTTGATTATCATTAAAGCGGTTTACCACTCGCAGTTTTTTTGCCTGTTGGTCGCTGTTGGATCGACTTGCCACCAAGAAATATTCACCTTCCCTTTACACAGAGCTCTGGACTGGGGTCTCCTGACTCTTTGGGTCCATTCAGCGATCCTTCCATTCATGCCTCTGCTCAGCTGCTTAATTTGATCTTTTTCACAGGTGCGCTTTCGTAACAGAGACACCTTCGATCGCTGCCGCTACTCCCTCAACTGGCATTGCAGCGGTGGCAGCTGTGGCTCAATCTCCAGAAGCCAGAAAACAACGATTGACAATAGCAACAATGGACCACAATTTGACAGGCTGTGGTGTGAAACTGAAACAGTTCAGACAAGGAATGTCCCGAGCGACAAACCTTTTCAGCTGAGGTGAATATTTTTAACTTTAATGATCTAAATACTATTGATGCTGTTCATGATGTGTATTCTTTTGCCTTAAAGTCATCATATCATGAAGTTGTGGTTCTGTTAAACATAAAAGCTGGGAGAAGTGATATTTAAAGAGCCTTGTTTCCACACATACCAGGGCAGACAGCTGTTGCTGGATCGGAACACGTAATGGTGTTATTGGTTGGGATGCGCTCACTCGTGTGGATTTGGGGACAAGATCTGACACCAGAAAGCCAAACAATTCACCAGACATTGCCATTCTGCCTTTCTTCAGGTAAGTTTCCTGATGTTTGCATGAAACTGTTTGCTTCTAACCTGCAAAGTTTGAAAAGTGTACGTGGTGAGTGGATTGTGGAATCGATTTTCCTCCTTTCTTCTTCTCTTTTGACTATAAATTACAGTCACAGTATTTGTGATTTTGCATGTAAACTCCACCAGTGATGGAAAGTAACTAAGTACAAGCGCTCCACCACTGTGCTGAAGTGCAATTTAGAGATGCTTTACTTGAGGATTTTCTTCTTCTGCAATTTTTTCCTTCCACTCAACTGCAATTCAGAGGAAAATATTGTATGTTCAACGCCACTACATTCATCTCACAGTTTGCTTTCTTTTTGGTTTGTGTCTTTTTCTGGACTTTTTGTGTGTGTTTGTAGTCATTTTACATTTATTTGTGTTGATTTTTTAATTTCGGGTTTTTTTTTTTTCTTTTTTCTTTTTTAAAGTTATGGAATATTTTTTGGTGCACTGGTACTTTTACACTTCCACTGCTCACTGTTCATTTTACTTTGACATTTTCTCTTTCTCATTTGTCATTCTACTGTCCGATGTGTTTCTAACTCATGTTTGTGTATTTATTAAAGAGTTCCTGAGAACTGCCCTCGGACTTACAAACTGATGTCCTTTGATCCTGATGGCGACCATGTCCGATGCAGATATGGAAGACTGAGGAACATAGAGTGCAGTAAGTGCGACCAACCTGCAGGCTTCCACTTAGATGAGGTCAGTTGAAAAAGTTAATCTCTTGTTACTTTAATGCACTGATGCTTGGCCTGACTTAACCCCTAAATGTTAACACCATTAGAACTCCTGCACGCTACACTACAACTCATCCACCGCCAATGCCAGAATTTATGCATTCGAGATGGTGGTGGAGGACTACTCGAAGGGACACATCGATCTGTCCTACTCCGATGGATCCCGGTCCCACAGGCATCCATGGCCTGAGAGGAGGAGTAGGAGAGCCCTGTTCCACCCTCAAATGACAACCACATGGCCCCCAACCACATGGCCCTCAACCACACGGCCCACAACCGCATGGTCCACAACCGCATGGCCCACAACCACACGGCCCACAACCACATGGCCCACAACCACATGGTCCACAACCACATGGCCCACAACCACATGGCCCACAACCACATGGTCCACAACTCCATGG